TTCTCTTGAGGGACACGACTGACAGGGCTCATCAAATTATGTTGAGTATAGAAGAAGAAAGGGTATGTCCAAGTGAGGTTGTCACCTACCTTGCCATAAGAATTGGTTGAACGTGACTCCTCACTTGGATTATATGAGAACAAGAGTTACAGTGGCCCTAAATGGACTCAGTCATGTCGTGGGCACCTTCTGGAGGGTCAGATACCCAGCTACAATAACTATTTACAAAGGAGTAGTTTTGGGTATTCTGAGATATGCGTCCCCAGCCTGGAACTTAAACCTCTCGCACCGACAGAAGAGTATGCTAGCATTGATTCAGAGATTGGCTTTACTTCGGGTCACTAGAGTCTATAGAACGGTGTCTCATGAAGCAGTGCAAGTACTGGCAGGAGAAAAACCTCTGGATCTTCTTCTGCGAGAAGACTTTTACTTCTCTAAGAGGAGGTTCAGTGGATCTACCGCAATATCTAAAGATCAGAATTGATGAAGACGCAAGAAGATGAAAAAGAATTATCAGAGAGGACACAGTTGATAAATGGAACTGGTGATGGATGGCAACTCCAAAGGGGGCTACCCTAAGAAAGTACTTCCCCATGGTCAAATCACGATTAGATGCAAGATGGGTTCTCCCGGATTACTGGGTGTCTCAACTCCTCATGGGACACTGGGGCTTTCGAGCAAAAGTCGTTAAAAATGGGAAGAATATTGATCCGCTTTGTTCCAACTGCAATGTTCCGGAGACCGCTGAACATGTGCTCGTCGAATGCTCTGCCTATGAAGCACTGAAAGCTAAGCTCCTGAGGGAGACGGGGATATATACGCTAACAGAGAGCATGTTCCCCAACTAATGAACAGAGAGAATTACCCACATTATAGGGAATTCGTATATGGGTGGAAAGATGCTGTAGGTGGGAGGGGAACAAAAAAGGACACAATACCAGGCTATGAATATTCTACCTGAAAAGATATATTTTGCCACCTCCACCAAAATCTATCTCTTCAGGAAGTTATGATAATAATTATGAATTGAAAATATACTAAATGATAAGAAAATTATATAATTTAAAAAGTAGGTACCCAAAGAATATTTATTTTTTTATTTTTCTGCCCTCACGACTTATTATTTATATTTGAAATTGTTGTTGAATGGTTTTTAACATTTGGGTTTATATTTAGTTTTTCTCATTTGATTATCTAGACATAATTGATTCATTTCATTAAGAACAGTTTTTTTTTTTTCAATTTGGATCTAAAAATAAAATATAAAAGTAATGTTTTGTTCTAAAATGAAGAAAACATAATTGAAGATTTCAGTTAACTAGAAACAATCGATAAGTCATAGTTATATCACTGTAATATATTATATCACAGTCATAGTTTTTATTGACTTGATTAACATTTTAAATTCCAATATACAGTGCTATGAAAAAGTCTTTGTCCAAACCAAATTTTTGTGAAAATGATGACTGTTTCAATTTAAAAATGTTTTTATCTTCCTAATTGTACACTGATTTAACCTAGCAGACATTGTAGACAACCGCCACTAAACTAAACTATAAGCCAAGAGACAAATCCTTAGTGTTCAGTAACCTAGTATTGCTTGCTACCTTATTCTTTAAATTTCACTACTTTGTTTTCCAATTTGTCTTTATTCATTATTGTTTTCATCAAGAGCCATTTTATTGACCTTAAATTATAATTTTGCATCAATGAGAACTTTCTATCAGAGAAAATCAAGAAGTAGAAAGTTCTATTTCTGTAATTCATAATGTCATCAATTTTTCAAATAAAAATAAGCAAACTGGAGACTTGAAATGTTCAGGCAGGTCTAAAAACCATTTCCCTGCTACTGGACAACATTTAAAATTATTATGTATATTATTAAAATTATTATACCCGCTAAAAATCTAGCAGACAACTGGCTCAGGAAATAGCCTATGCTATACGGACCCAAGGAAACTCCTATCATTAGGCCTTAAAGGTTATTTTCTCCTCCCCCTCAAAAAAATCTGGTGTGCGCAACACACAACTTTCACTTACAGCTTTACTTTGAATAAAAATTATTTTCTGGCAATGTTTGGCTATTATAAAATGTTTTAAGTGCATTTTAAACGAAGCTAAAGCTTATAGCTCAAGCTAACAAATCATTAAGACCATTAAAATAACAAAAACTCTATTTATTATATCGACAGTAGGCAATAAAAATCTCGTTGCTCCATCTGTTTTTGTAAACCACTTAACTTCAATCTCTGAGGTATATGTGTCTAACTCCAATTTCAATATTTTTGAGTAATGTCATTTTAGTGATATTTCTAGTTGGAAAAGTTATATCTGTACAGATAGTGAGTAAGTTGATTCTACAGTAGGTGATTGCTGTGTCAAAATATAGAATTATGAATAAATATATAAACTTTCCAACTAGAAACATCACTAAAATTAATAATAAAAAAAGTTGAAATTGGAATTAGTCATTTTGTCAAATTGAAAGGCTCTTATCTACCTCAAGAGATTTGAAAGTATATCTGAATATTAAACCTATAAATGACTATGGATTGTAGGACTATTAGTTATTAAACTTTTATTTTCCATTGTGAAGTTTACTAAAATGAAATAACGAGATTCTCATTGCCTGCCATTAGATAGGCCAAAAGTTATTAAACTAATTGCAAGTGGATAATGTTGGGACTTCACAAAGGGAAAATGAATCAAATTATTCATTAATTTAATTTTCTAAAAGTTTGCTTGATGATTTTTTGGAATAAACAGCCGATAGATAAGTAATTATTTATATATAATACCAGATCTAGTGTTATTAAACTACAGTAAATGTGTTTGAGGATATAAATATATCCATGAAATATTTAATATTTCACTTCTTTTTTCACACAAGTGCAATGAAATAGTATAAAAACGTCATTGTCTCAAATCAGGAGATTTTAAGTTGTTTTTTTTTCAAACTTTACATTTAGTAAGAAAATTTCATTTAGTTTCCTTAGAAACTAGTGGTTTACGTTAAATAAATGTTAGTTTCCAGAAATTATTATTTATATTTTTTTCATCACTCTCTGTTATCTTCTACAACTTTATTTATTTGATATTATTTATTCTAAAATTCCCCGCTTTCTAATGATATATTATACCTATACATTCTGACTATTATTTCCGGATATTCATTTTCGACATCATTAAACATTTTCCCTTTTTTCTCCATTTATCAACTTATCAAATTCTTCTGAAAGTTGATTTAGCATTTTTTCGTAACTCCTAACAATGAGAGAGTTAATTATTTAAAATAAACCAAATTAAAGGTACTTTAGAGGAAGACATGTTTAAACATCGGATATATAAGCCCTGTAAAGTGACATCAATTGTGATAAGACCTAAATGATATTAAAAATCCTTTAATTATACAGTGACACACCGAATTTAATGAAAATCGTTAGAGCCATGTTTGAGAAAATTGTAGAAATGTGTATGACCATTGAAATGAAATGGCACTTCGGTTAGCCGATTTTAAGGAAAAAGTTGCTGTCACATCTAAGGCATATACCTATCCTAAATACGTAATATCAGCTTTGTAAAACTTTTCGTATTTGAGCTAGACTGTTAGCATACACACGCACAATTTTTGCGGGACTTGGTTATTTGTACTCTGGGTACCTCAAAACTTGTATTTCCGTTGAAAACTCAGATTCGAAAATTTTCACGATTGCAATACTTTCCCTTACTATATATTATATATATAGGTAAGTGAAAGTAAAAAGGTAAGCATGCTGCAGAAGCTCATAGAAAAATTTGCAGTATTTATGGGGATGATGCCTTAACTGAATGCACCTATGAAAATTGGTTTGCCAATTTTCATTCAGGAAATTTTGACATCAATGATTCTCAATGGTCTGGTCGCCCACATGAAATTGAAACGAGCAATGTTAAGGCCATTGTTGATCAAAATCCCACCCAATCAGTGCGAGAGATTGCTATAGCCCTAAATGTGTCGCACACAAGCCTAAAAAACCATTTGCACAAGCTCAACTATGTTTTTAAGCTTAATGTTTGGGGTCCCTCACATGTTTTTTTTTTTTTTAAATCAAAAAATATTTATAACTTCAATACGACTTTAGCTATCTACAAAAAATTTAGCAGGAATTTAGGGCCACATAAACTTCACAAAATGACATCAACAGGGCCTTCATTAACAAACTACAAATAGGGATAAAAAATAAAAACCTATAAGGAGTTTTTGTTTATTTATTCCTTATGTAGGCATTAAATCAAAAAAGCATTCATACGGCTTTGAAGAACAATATTTCAGCTTTCCAACAGATATAGTAACATCAAATTCGGAGATTATCCTGAACAGTTATTGGAAGAGTGTTGTGTCCCACCAAGAAAATGCTAGGCCCCCATATCTCATTGGTCACTCGCTATAAATAACGGAGCCTTGGATGGGGCCTTTTGCCCTACCCTCTCTACTCACCAGACTTGTCTCCAAGTGACAACCATTTATTTCGGTCTCTGCAGAACTCCATGAATGGGAAAAAATTCCAAAAGGAAAAGGATATCAAAAACCACTTGCATCAGTTTTTTAACAATAAACTCCAGACATTCTATGAACATGGCATTATTCAGTTAGCGGAAAGATGGAAGTCATATCAAATAATGGTCAATATATTGTAGATTAAAAAAATTTTATGTCTACAGTACATTGTGTTTTATTTCACACTGAAAAACCGAAAAAACTTATTTGCCAACCCAATAAATATTAATGAGTTTTTGAATAAAATAATATATATATAATATATATATATATATATGTATATATATATATATATATATATATATATATATATACATATATATATATATATATATATATTTGAATAATATATATAAATTTAATATAAACAATAATAATTGTTCTTTTTCATAATTAAATGTTTCATTATATCAATTTCTGTTTCATAAGAATTAAAAATGAATTATGAACTTTATTTTTGTAGGTATTTAGAGAACCAAAGAAAACAGGAGGTGTTGATGAAGTTCTGAGCGGTTATGCTAAAGCTGTTAAAACAGCAAAGGGGAAAAATGGAGCTCTTTTATTCAGTGTTGTTGGTAAGAGTATTTTTTTTAAATAAAATAATATAAGTATACCTCATATATTAATCAGATTTCGTCTTATAAATTCTAACGCCTCCTAAGGCCAGAGATAGGCATATTTATATTCAAAAATATGAATACGAATACGATTTATATTTATGGCATTTTTGAATATAAATATGAATATATTTATATTCATAAAAAGAAACATGAATACAGATGATGCATATTCACAAGTGTAAATATAAATACGGCCGTATTCACTACTTTAAAAGTGAATACGGCTGTATTTACAGTTGCAGTAGTGAATACGGCCGTATTCACGTTTATTAAAATGAATACGCTTTAATTTACAGAAGTGAATGGAAATATTTTCACACAACCTTATGAATGAATACTCTTATTTATTAAATAAATATTAATTTTACTTTAGGTATTTTCCAAAATTAAACAAAAAAGTATGCAAAAATTAAAATAAAATTCTGGACAGTAAGGAGTTAATTAAATAAATTTCTTAAATTTTTTTGGAGTAATGTTAAAAAGGTTGATATTTACTAACACAAAATGATGTATACATAAACTTTTAATTTTATTAAACATAAAATTATAATTATGTATGTGTTAACATCTTAGGAAGGTCCTAATTATGTAAACTAAAGTCAATTAAGGAAATTGGAAAAGTCGACTAGATGACTGAGCTAATGCCTAGATATACATATGTATTTTACTGTGCTGTATATTCCTATTATAGAAATTTTAGTTTATATTCAATGATAATTATATATAGCAACATGTCCTAAGATCTTATGATTAATTCATGAACATTCTTTAATTTTTACCTGAAAATTTTATTACAGTTTCGGTAGTAAATATGGCGTGATGAGATCATTTCACTGACTCAAACCTTTAAATACAAATAAAATTAAGAATTCAGTTGGTTTGTTAACAATTTTCAAATACATCATCCACACACAAAGAAAAGATATTTACCATGTATATCATTTTATTTTTATATATAAAATTATATTCTTCATTTTACTATATGTTATTTCAATTATGTTACTATGTATTTTGGTAAATTAATTGTTGTACGTAATATAAATTCCCGAAACCTTTTTAAACCTTTTTACCCGAAACCCCCCCTTCCCCTTAACAGAATGGAAAATCCGCGTCTTTGGTCCTTTTGGTGCACTGTTTACTTATGGGTTGCTGATGACAAAAAATATAACTTTAATGGAATGTCAGCGCATGCACAACTGTCAGAACGATACCCTGGGAATTCCAGGAGGGGGAGGGGGGAATACGAGTACACGGCATCCTTTGCATGAAGCTAGGGAAGGGGCAAGGGCAGTCAAATTTGGATAGTGACCTTTCCGGACCTGCAGTTTCGTAAAGTAATAAAGTAAAAGTGAGGGTGTTACTGTGTTAAGTTTTGGATTTAGAACAATGTATGAAATTGATAATGAAACTGAGTCTGTTTTTTAGCAGGCTCTTGTATTCTGGATCAGGATTTCGATTTAAGTGAGTGTTTTCAAGACAGTACCGGCTCTTTAAGAAAATTAAGGTTCTCTGTACGAGTCGCGTTGAATGGGACTTTCTTTAAACCATTAAGTAATGTTATAAAAGTGTGTAATATTTTTTATCTCTCTGACTGTCTGTAATTGTCGACATTTGTCTTTTAAAATCTTAAATCTGTCCTTGGAACCTTTAATCTTTCTGTTAGTCAATTAACCTGGTCTTTGTATATCTATTTACCTTTGTAAGGATGGGGTATATAATTTTAGATAGGATGAGAAGGATAAGGTATATTAGGTAAGACCGCCAAGAATGATAGAGGGACAACCCCTACACATCCAGGACTCAGCAACCGAGGAAGCAATCCCCTGACATTGCAAGGATAGGTGACCTCACGCTCCCAGGGACAACCTAAAAGATGCAAGGGGTTAATCCCCTTAAGTTAATCCTACGAAAGGAGGTATAGGTTAGAAGAGATTGGGTCTCAATGTAAGGATAGGTTAGGTAAGACCGCCAAGAATGATAGGGGGACAACCCCTACACATCCAGGGCTCAGCAACCGAGGAGGCAATCCCCTGACACATTGCAAGGATAGGTTAGGTAAGACCGCCAAGAATGATAGGGGGACAACCCCTACACATCCAGGGCTCTGCAACCAAGGAGGCAATCCCCTGACGTTGCAAGGATAGGTTAAGTAAGATCGCCAAGAATGATAGGGGGACAACCCCTACACATCCAGAGCTCTGCAACCGAGGAGGCAATCCCCTGACGTTGCAAGGATAGGTAACCTTACACTCCCAGGGACAACCTGGAAGATGCAAGGGGGACTGTAGGAAAACGAGGGACAACCAAGTTATTTCTACGAAAGGAGAGAGGAGGTAGGTTAGGAGAGAACAGAAGGTGAGAGGAAGGAAGTTAATCAAAAAATAACACAATGGTCTGGTTTCAAACTGTCAGACAGAGAGATTCCAGGAGCCTTTGTGAGGAAGAGGTAGTGACTCAGGAGAGAGTGCCTGCCCTAGGAACCAGGCTCATATTTAAACTAATAGCCAGCCCTCAGACTTGTTTTCAGGTTAGTGAGAGACAACACCAGTAACAATTATTTTAATTAGGCCCTGAGATCTCTAAGTCCAAACTCCTTTTATTTTTATTTAATTATAGTTCATGAATACTTATTTTAAAAATATTACAAACATTAGTTATTTACAAAATGAAATACTTAGTTCACTGGACAACAAGCAGGTTGCGCTACTAAAATTATTAATCATTATTTTTCTAGTCACATCCTTCGGGTTTGGTGCCATTTTCATAATTTATCATATGTCTATTTTAGGCCAAAGGTCACCAAAAAAACACAGTTTTTTTTATCTCCTGTATGCTTTATTCAACGTTTCGGCTTCAGGAGCCATTTTCAAGAACCTGCAAAACATGCACCACGCCATAAAATTTTTAAAATTTATCATTGCGATATGATTCATCCTAATTCATTCTTTTATTTCAAAGAATGTCGTTTTCGGTTTCTCTATTTGCAGACGGTATCAAGAAATTATTGTTCTTCAATAGGGCCTTCATACAGTCCTGTATGCAAATAGAGAAACGGAAAACGACATTCTTTGAAATAAATTCCATGTGAGTCGTTTGTCGAGGTGGAGTCCTAGGTAACGAATTTGTTCAACTGGGATAAGTGGGGAATTGTTAAAAAATACTGTAGGACAGGAGGTCATAGGTTGGCGACGCAGGGTAAAGGTAATTTGATGGGATTTATTGAAACATTGGGAGGACATTTTAAACATAAAATGCAAACCAAATTAAATTTATGTATTTCTTGTGAAATCACTTGTAACATATTTTTTTATTTATAATTTTATTGAAATTTACAACTGTATTACATTAAAAATACAACAGGTAAATGTGACATTGGTAACATGACATGTAAAATATGAAGAGAAACTACCCATTGGTAGAACTCAAATTAAAGTTCTATATTAGAAGATCCCGAGGCCATCTTCTTTTCAGACGCCTCGGAGGGTTATCAGGGATAGACGAGGAAGCAATGTTTGAAACAAGAGGGTTCGGATGGTTCTGCAGTTTGTTATGGAAGGATAGGTATCTGGATTGGCCAAATCGGAAGCATATGGAACATTAAGGTCTTTATGGATGATTTTGTTTGTGACAAAGTAAGGAGCGTTGAGGATTTTACGAAGGATTTTGGATTGTAAGGATTGGATACGAGAGTAATTCGATGGCTTAGTGGAGCCCCAGAGCTCAATTCGGTAGGTCCAAATAGGTCCTATTATTGTCATATATATGAGTCGTTTGTAATTGAGTGAAAGCTTAGAGCGTTTGTCTAGTAAGTGTTGGAGTAGTCGGAAACGTCGAGCGGTTTCTTGTCGTTTCAGTCTTGTATGAGGATTCCATGTGAGTCGTTTGTCGAGGTGGAGTCCTAGGTAACGAATTTGTTCAACTGGGATAAGTGGGGAATTGTTAAAAAATACTGTAGGACAGGAGGTCATAGGTTTGCGACGCAGGGTAAAGGTAATTTGATGGGATTTATTGGAGTTTATTTTAATCCTCCAGTTTTGACACCATTCTTCAAGATTTGTGATGTGTGATTGGAGAGTTTGGGATGTAATTGATGGATCGTTGTTAACGTAACATATTTTATTAGGGCCTTTATAAATTGTAATTGTTAGCAAAACTCATGATCATGTTTTATTCTTTTTGAACTGTGTGAAAAGAAGCATTTATATGTAATATATTTATAAATTAAATTTATTGGTATGTATTTTATTAATTTTAGTTGTGACTTAATTTGAAATTGTAAAAGTAATAATAACATTTAACTAGCGATAAGGATTAATAGGTACGATGTATTAGAGCTAACGGACGGGAGGTCCTTCTCTGTCAAACTATTTGCAGACGGTATCAAGAAATTATTGTTCTTCAATAGGGCCTTCATACAGTCCTGTATGCAAATAGAGAAACGGAAAACGACATTCTTTGAAATAAAAGAATGAATTAGGATGAATCATATCGCAATGATAAATCTTAAAAATTTTATGGCGCGGTGCATGTTTTGCAGGTCCTTGAAAATGACTCCTGAAGCCGAAACGTTGAATAAAGCTAAAGAAGGAGATAAAAAAAAACTGTGTTTTTTTGGTGACCTTTGGCCTAAAATAGACATATGATAAATTAATCATTATTAGAACAAACAATGACTTGCATTAATGAATGAAATAGTTCATTAGAACAACGCCTAGAGGGCTCCACACGCATCCTCCAACACACCATGCCACTAGTTATTTACTATTCAATGTTTGACAGAGAAGGACCTCCCGTCCGTTAGCTCTAATACATCGTACCTATTAATCCTTATCGCTAGTTAAATGTTATTATTACTTTTACAATTTCAAATTAAGTCAACTGAAATTAATAAAATACATACCAATAAATTTAATTTATAAATATATTACATATAAATGCTTCTTTTTACACAGTTCAAAAAGAATAAAACATGATCATGAGTTCTGCTAACAATTACAATTTATAAAGGCCCTAATAAAATATGTTACGTTAACAACGATCTATCAATTACATCCCAAACTCTCCAATCAGACATAACAAATCTTGAAGAATGGTGTCAAAACTGGAGGATTAAAATAAACTCCAATAAATCCTATCAAATTACCTTTACCCTGCGTCGCAAACCTATGACCTCCTGTCCTACAGTATTTTTTAACAATTCCCCACTTATCCCAGTTGAACAAATTTGTTACCTAGGACTCCACCTCGACAAACGACTCACATGGAATCCTCATACAAGACTGAAACGACAAGAAACCGCTCGACGTTTCCGACTACTCCAACACTTACTAGACAAACACTCTAAGCTTTCACTCAATTACAAACGACTCATATATATGACAATAATAGGACCTATTTGGACCTACCGAATTGAGCTCTGGGGCTCCACTAAGCCATCGAATTCCTCTCGTATCCAATCCTTACAATCCAAAATCCTTCGTAAAATCCTCAACGCTCCTTACTTTGTCACAAACAAAATCATCCATAAAGACCTTAATGTTCCATATGCTTCCGATTTGGCCCAATCCAGATACCTATCCTTCCATAACAAACTGCAGAACCATCCGAACCCTCTTGTTTCAAACATTGCTTCCTCCTCTATTCCTGATAACCCTCCGAGGCGTCTGAAAAGAAGATGGCCTCGGGATCTTCTAATATAGAACTTTAATTTGAGTTCTACCAATGGGTAGTTTCTCTTCATATTTTACATGTCATGTTACCAATGTCACATTTACCTGTTGTATTTTTAATGTAATACAGTTGTAAATTTCAATAAAATTATAAATAAAAAAATATGTTACAAGTGATTTCACAAGAAATACATAAATTTAATTTGGTTTGCATTTTATGTTTAAAATGTCCTCCCAATGTTTCAAGCAAACAAAAAATAATAAAAGCTAATATTTTAAACAATTCAAACCTAAGAACACATTTAAAGCGGCATCATACTTCAGAAATGGCTGGTGATTTTAAAACTTTTCTAGCCTCGAAACGAGATCAGTACGCAATTTCTAACCCAAGTCAGGTCAGTCAAATACATTTACGAAAAGCCGTCTCATCATTAGGCATTCAATCTCAATTAGAGAAATTGGTTTTAAGCTTTATTATAAATGCTATGGTTCCCTTAAAAGTGGTTGAAGATCCCAGTTTCCGAAAAATTTTGAAATTTTTGCATACTAAACAAACTGATTTGAAAATGATTAGTCGGCGATCTTTTGCTAGGAAACTTGATACAAAATTTTCACAACACACAGAAAAGGAAGATGTTAAGACAAGTTCCTTATGTTTACACGACAGCAGATATTTGGTCTGGAGGGAAACGAAGTTTTATTGGCATCACCGCTCATCGGATTGATATTAAAGGTAGAAGAAAATCTGTAGCATTGGCTCTTAAACGATTCTCGGGCTGTACGAAGAGAAACGGCCGGATTCACTGGTGCAACTGTAAATACAGCCACATTCACTTTTAAAGAAGTGAATATGGCTGTATTTATATTATACATACAGCGTGATAAAATACATATGTATATCTAGGCATTAGCTCAGTCATCTAGTCGACTTTTCCAATTTCCTTAATTGACTTTAGTTTACATAATTAGGATCCTCCTAAGATGTTAACACATACATAATTATAATTTTATGTTTAATAAAATTAAAAGTTTTTGTATACATCATTTTGTGTTAGTATATACCAACCTTTTTAACATTATTCCAAAAGAATTTAAGAGATTTATTTAATTAATTCTTTACTGTCCAGAATTTTATTTTAATTTTTGCATACTTTTTTGTTTAATTTTGGAAAATACCTAAAGTAAAATTAATATTTATTTAGTAAATAAGAGTATTCATTCATAAGGTTGTGTGAAAATATTTCCATTCACTTCTGTAAATACAGCCGTATTCACTTTAAAAATAGTGAATACAGCCGTATTTATATTTACACTTGTGAATTTGCATCATCTGTATTCATATTTCTTTTTATGAATATAAATATATTCATATTTATATTCAAAATTGCCATAAATATAAATCATATTCGTATTCATATTTTTCAATATAAATATGCCCATCTCTGCCTAAGGCTGTGGTTACACTGGATCTGGATCACATAACCTTTAATTCTTGTTTTAATGTTTATCATCCATTTAATTGTATATGGTATATGGTATAATATATGGTAGCTGATGAAATTCCCATGCCGGCACAAGACCGTGACGATTGGAGGAAACGGTTAGAGAAGGCCAAGACCTGTAACCGGGTTGTAGCGCCATGAGAAAAAATATATATATATTTCTTGTAATCTTATTCTCCTTTTTATCTATCGCCTTATGAAAATCATTTTCAATATCATACCATAATTACCCTTTTTATTTATTTTCAATAAGCATTATTGTACTTTTTTTTTTTTTCTTTTTTTCTGGGAAGTTGTCAATTTAATTTAGTTGCTTGGCAATAATAACTTCCAATTATTAACAATTCGAGTATATTTTTAACGTTACATGTTAACAGTCTAGTTTACGTTTCGGGACCTTTTATTCCCATCTTCAGAACTGCAATTCCAATACTCTTGTGGATGCAAGGCTAAAAAAAATTTTAAGTTACAATATTGTGCTTGTTACATTACATATTTGTATTATGTTTGTTACAATAAATTTGTAATTACCTTAATTCTAATAATAATAATAATGTGCTCCATCGTCAATTTTCTAATTTATGTTCTAAAATTTATCATCTCGAGCAACATTCTCCTTTTGACCAATAATTGGGTTTCTGCCATAGTGAAAATTTGACCTTTGGATCTAAATGTTTTATCTGACTATTTTGATTGTTGTTGTTAGTGTTTATTTTATGTGACTGTGATTTCACTTCTATTAAATTTTAATTTTGTTCAATATGTCTGTATAGTGGGTTCCTAAATGTTTAGTATCTGTTTTGTAGTTGACTGTTGTTCTGTTGTTTTTTGTAATGTGTATTGCTTCAAGTAATTTTCTGTTGGCGTTCTTTGGTTATGTGCCTATTATCTGTGGTTTGTTAAAGTTAAATTTATGCTGTAGTTTTATACTGTGATGTGCTAAGGCTGTTGTGTTTATGTTTTTTGGATTTTTACAGTTGGTGATGTGTTGTGCGATTCTAGTTCCTAATTGTTTGGATGTTTCACCAATGTAGATTTTGGGGCAGTTTTGACAGTTTAATTTGTATATTGCATTTTTCTTGTTTATTGGTTCTATTTTATCTTTTGTGTTGGTGATGTGCCTGCTTAGTTTCTTGTTATTGTATTGTCCGAATTTAATCTCTGTCAAGTCAAAATCTTTGAACACGTTTTTAATTTTGTTAGTGAGTCCAGGTATGTATGTCATTTTGTAGTGGTAGTTGAAGTCCATTCTGTTTGTTTGTGCCATGTTATCCTGATTGTTTTCGTTTGTTGGATTTGTTTTTTCAAAAAATTGGGTGATGAATTGTGTAGGTTTCTTAATTGTAGTGTTTTCTTCTGGTGTTTTTTGTATTGTTTGTTTTTTGGCTCTAATTTTGTTATTGTTTCCTTATTTATTAGTAAAGCTATGGGACCACCCATAAATCAATTTTAAAGCTGTTAAAAACAAAATCCTCGAGCCCTCCAATCATGCTCCTTTCCTTATTGAAAGTTTTGTCACAAGTTTTACGAAAGCATCTCCATTTGGCCTTCTTGGTTAACTTCATTTGATGACCTCGTTCACACAATTTCATGTCGGCAAGTACCCCAACATTTTGAAAATACTGAATTGCCTGTTCTTCTGAAGACGGTAAATCCCATATTCTAAGAAGATCCATAATATGACGAAAATAAACCGAAAAAAAAAAATGAAAAATAAACACAAAGGGGCCACAAACTAAAAAAAAAATGTAAAATAAACACAAACCGAAAGTAAACAATTTAATAAGTGAACGTAATAAGGGAATAACTGAAAACTAAACAATGCAATAACTGAGGGAAAACATGTAATGGACTTACAAGATAACATACAATCTGCTCTAGACGTTAGTACCTGACTTGCTGATCATGGCTTTAAAATTTCATCAAGTAAGACAGTTGTAATTCTTTTTAGCAAAACACAGCCAAACTTATTACCATCACTGACCATAAGCAGTCAATCAGTCACCTTCTCCCACGTTGTACGGTACTTAGGAATGATCTTTTGATAGAATGCTCAGATGGACTCAGCATGTTAAACAATTAAAAGCAAATTGCCTCCACTTCCTGGATCTCTTAAGAATGCTCGGTAACACTAGCTGGGATGCCGATCGAAAAACTATGCTAACCCTATAAAGGACACTAATAAGATCAAAATTGGACTATGGCTGTAATGCTTACAACTCGTCATTGAGTACCATTTTAAAAATGCTAGATCCTTTACAAAACAGCGCACTCAGAATAGCTACTGGTGCTTTCCAATCCATCCCTGCAAATAGCCTATGTGTCGACTGGGGCCCTTCCCATTGTAGTAGTACCTCACATGCTATATTTTAAAATTGTTTTCTATTTTCTTTTCATTGTAGTTTTCAAATGATGCAGATACCTTAGCTATTACTATAGCTAACTTTTAACAGAAAATGTAAATATAATATATTTAAATATAACTTATGATTGTTCCATATTACAGTATCCATATCATTTTTGTTTTAGGTGGAAAACTTAGCGAAGGTCTTAATTTCAGTGATGAGCTAGGTAGATGTGTTATAGTTGTTGGGATGCCCTATCCTAATATTAAATCTCCTGAGTTAATTGAAAAAATGAAATACTTGGAACAAAATATTGTGAGTTTAACATGCCTTAGTTATTAATCTTTCAGCTGATTTGAATGTGTGAGTTTAATAAGAATTACTTTAAATTTATCACAGTATTCTAGAGAACAAAAAGAACTGTTAATTAAAAAATAATACAGATATAACTTATTATTTTTCTAGTCAATAGATTATTTTTATTTCAAGCATTAAAATACAAATTCAATTAGTTATTTGTGGAATGTTATTTTCACATTTTTACTACCTAAAATCTGGGTGGGTGCATCACGTAGTTACTAGACGCTACTTTGACTATAAATATTAACATACTGCTATTAATACAAAATATGACAATTTTAGACAATATTTATTTTTGGTTAGTCAAGCTGTAACCCTCTAAATTTAGGATAGGACATAGATTATCATATACTATTCATTTATAATGAACTGTAAATGCAGAAGTTAGTTTCTCATCAAATATAGAACATGATTCTGAAGGGACTTAGTCCCAGAATAAAGTTTTTTTTTTTCTATTCTTTCTATCTATTCTAAATGTAGTTCTCGTGAATGGTATAAAACAATTTAAGCTCAAAACACTGAAAAACTTTAAGATTTTAAATACTCTTTAAGTTTTCTTTGGTTTCATATCATATCATGTGTAAGATTGTAATAATATAGGTTAAATATATACTGTCAATACTACAAAAATTAAAAATATATAATAAAAAAAAACAACTGCAGAACAGAAATTGAGAAATCTTATACATCCAAAGAGAATGTACTTGCATATCTAATTAAATACCTTGGTGGATTATTAGGGAAATTGAAATCTACGAATATCAGTTGCTACTACACATTACAGCTCCTAAAAAGTTTATATCTTCCCTTGTATTGGTGCACTTCAACATCCAAGAGTAAATTTAAATATTCGTTGATATCGATTTCCCCAACAATCTGTCATGTTGTTTAAGTAGATATGCAAGTATATTCCATTTGGATGGATAGAATTTCTGTAGTTGTGTATTTTTCTTCTTTTTTTTTCCTTAGGAATTTCTTCAATATGAAGTTTTCCTCATCCAAATTAGCATGCTTCAGCAAGTCTCCCCATCTCAGGTGGTCCATCGTGTCCTCCTCCGACAGTCCCCTTGTGGAAGTATGGCTGGTAAGCCATACTCTCCTTGTTGTATATTTTCTTTAAATTAAATTCTTTTTATTTTAATTTTTGCTTAGGTGATTTAAATGGAATAAAATGTGTAATGTAAGACATATATCAGGATACTGATGAACTTTTATTTATAAACTTTTTAGAGAAATGGTGCTGGCAAAGAACATTATGAAGCATGTTGCATGAAAGCTGTGAACCAGTCTATTGGTCGGGCTATACGTCACAGGTCTGATTTTGCTACAGTGCTACTTTTAGATCAAAGATATTCATCTCAAAAGGTTTTAAACCTCCTTCCTGCATGGATCATGAAATCTCTGAAAATTCAAGAACAATTTCCTCAGGCATTAGCTGCAGTTGTGAAAGTATACTGCCATTTTAACTACCTTATATATTATAAATTTTATTTTGATCCTCCCTAACATTGGTGGAAAAAAATAAACCTCACATTGAACATATAATATTTCGTTTTTCTTTTAGAGTACATTTTAATAGAAGGGTTTAAAATAATAAATTTTCTCCGGATCTTAAGGTAATAGTAGACCTAAATTCTAACAGGAAAACTCATTAGTACTATGGTCCATTTCCAAACATAGAATAATTTTTTTTTTTTTAATATAAAATATATTTATTGAAATTTACAACTATGTTAACTAAAAATACAAGTGAATGTTTATTGAGATAATAACAATAGTTATATATTAGAAGATCCCAAGTCTCTTCAAACGCCTAGGATTGTCAGGAATTGAAAAGGATACAAGGCTAGAAACTAGGATGGGAATCTGGAATGAGCTAAATTGGCAACATATAGAACATGAAGGATTTTGAATTGTAAGGATTGGATATGAGTGGAATTTGATGATTTAGTGGAGCCCCAAAGTTCAACTCCTCAATATATTCAATATGTTCAACTCAATTAGTCTAAATATATTTCACTATTATAGTCTAGTATATGAGTCTTTTTTTTATATTTCAAAGCTTAGAATGTTTGTCTATTAAGTTTTGAATTAGCTGGAAACCTCTAGCAGTTTCAGTCTTGCATGAGGATTTTAAGTAAGATGTTAGTCCAGATGAATTCCAAGATAGTGGGTTTGTTTATCAGAGATAAGCGGAGTATTATTAAAGGAAAATATTGAACAGAAAATCACAGTATTACTGTGAAGTGTAAAATTACTCCAATGGACTTTGTTAGAATAAATTTTAATCCTTCAATTTCAACACCATTCTTCAAGGTCTGGGATATGTGACTGAAGATTTTGGGAGCAATAAATGGGTCATTATTAATGGTTAGGACGAGTTGGAATGTCAGCTGTATATAATGTGCAGAGTATGGGTCCAAGGATATTACCTCATGATCTTAATTTTATATTCTATCATTTGTCTATTATAGCATAGATAATCTTAATATTCATTATCTGAACTATGTGAGAAAAAAAAATCAAATTCGATTGTATTTGTTTATTTTCCAATGATGTATCCAAAAGTTCTTCCCTAAAATTGTGTGTTTAGTCAACTAGATAGTACTTTTAGTTATGATTTGGTATTTTTAATCCTGTACCACTACAATCCATGGAGGGTCTTGGGTTCAGTACTTTGTAAGAAAGTACTGTTTCAAGGCCAACAGTTGTGCAGGGAGGTTATTTGGCCCTGATCACTCTCACCTGTCAGGTTTTCCTTCTTGTACTCTTAATTATTTAATTAAGATAGTTTAATTTTTTCTGAGAAATTGAGTGAGTCTGATTTAGTTTATTTTGGATTAATTTAACAAAATCTAAACTAAAATAGAGTGTTAACTTAGTTTGTACAATACTATAAATGTTTTTTCCTATTATATTTTATTTATAATGGAATGCAGTTTGTTGTGAAATATTTCTTTCATGAAGAAAACCTTAAATTATTTCTTGAAAATGCAATTCTTAGAATGAGCATTATTACTTTTTCACAATGTACTTTGGATAAATAAGCTATGAAGCTTACTTAATATAGTTGTTTAAGAATTTATTCTCATTTTTAATAATAATCTTTAATTTCATTACTTTTGTCTTATTTTCTTATATAAAGAAATAACAGATTGTTTTTATTTCCAACATATGAGATCTTTCGGCTTATATATAATAACCTTATTGTATTAAAGAAGAACACTATTATAATTAAAAATCATTCAAGATAATTTGTTTTATTCTTCTTCGCTTCATTGATCTTAACGTATTGAATGGTATGTAAAAAAATAAAAAAAATGCAAATCAGAAAAGATATAAAATTATAATAATAAAGATTATAAAAGTAATAATAATAATTATTTTGCTTGATAAGGGCCTAAAGTGGCTGACATGGTTACGAAAATAAATAAAGTAATACAAAAATAATCAAATTAAAGTTTATTATTAATGAAGATTTTTTTGTGTACAAACATGTTTAATTATTTTACATTTTACTTCTTATTCTTCTACTTTATAGTGAATATTAAATGTTAGAACCACACCTACCTATATTAGTTTGGATAAATGATGTATTTTTATTTTATTTGTAGTTTTTCAAGCAACATGATACTACTGAGTCTGCCTCTTCAGCAACAGCATTTGTGAATGAAGCCTGATGGATATATTTTTTTCTCAGTGAATTATGTTAATTTATTGTGCTAAACTATGTAATATATTGTGTAACATTTATTGACATAAAATGTGTTTTTTTTTCAAATATATTTTTTTAATATTTCTGTTTTAAGAGTTTTTATCAATAAATTCCTTTCAAAAACTAGGAAAAAAATATCTGGTGTGCACATCACACGACTTTCACTTACCATCCTATTACCATAAGTATTTCCAAATCAAGGGGAAGTGAAAGTAAAAATTATAGATGCTATATTTATTTACATTTCATTTTGGGTATTTTTATTTGTTTAAAGACCCTTATGCACTAGCGGATCCAGGATTTATTTTTGGGGGGCTTCAGCCCGAAAGTTTTTTTTTTCATAAAAATAACGATAATTACTTTGGAAAAAAAGAAAGAAACTATAACTACCTGTATGCAATGGTGTTTAAGGTATTCCTAAAGCCTTTTTAAATGTAATTATAAGAATAATAATACTTTAAGAGATACTTTTTTAATATTTTATTCGATAAAACATGGTTATATTTTTCCATTTTGGGGGGGGCTTCAGCCCGAAAGCCCCTCCCCGTAGATCCGCCCGTGCCCTTATGTATACAAATTTTAATTTTTATATCACTGTAATCTATACAATTAAATATTAAATAATACCAACGATAACATTTATAAAAACCGCATATGTAATTGTACATGGCATTGTCAGAGTCCGTATTATATTAAGCTCTTGTTATGCATGGAAGCATGTCCTAATCTTTCGTATTCCTTTGATTTCTCCATTACAACTATTATCTGTTACTATCTCTGATTTTTCCTTTAGTTGTCAAATTCTTTCATATTTTATATTTAACTACTTTTTATATCAAAGATTAATGTGAAATGGTTAATTATTTCAAATTTAAAAAAATCTGCAATCACACAACTTTCACTTACCACCCTCTTCTTAGCAGAAATAAGTATTTTTAGACAAAGGGTAAGTGAAAGTAAATATTGCAAACACTATATTGATTTAGAATTCATTGTGGGTATTTTTATACAAATTATTATTACAAATACAATTATGGGCATATATACAAATTTTAATATTTATATCTCTGTAAATATATTGGTGGAAAATTAAAATGAATAAAAAAAAAAGTGTACCTAGTATTCACTCTTAATCATACCCCTTCCCCCAAAATATATTTTAATAAAATTGAAATTCCTGCATCTGATGTAATTAAATATTTGTGCTTTTACCTGGACAAAAGACTAACTTGGAGAACATATATTAGACAAAAACGTATGGAATTAAATAGATGATGGGTCTTTTATCCAGGTTACCTGACAGGTTTGAAATTATCTTTGACTAACAAACTAACTCTCTATAAAGTTTTACTTAAACCAATTTGGACTTGTGGCATAGAACTGTGGGGTTCTGCTAAAACTTCCAATATTAAAAAAATTCAGTCTTTCCAATCAAAAATTTTACGAAGGATAATGAAGCACCATTTGATGTCGCAAACGATAGATTACATAAAGACTTGAACACACAAGCGGATCCAGCCGTGGGGCGCGCTCCTCCCTCCCCCTCCATGCTGGAAAAAAAGTTCCAAAAAACAGCTATTTAAAGAAAAGATAAATAGAGAGAAAATTCATCCTCATAGACGATGCGAAGGCTTTTGCTCCTTTCTCAGTTTGTTCCTATTGATTCCGAACTGAGTTTCGCAGATGAAATAAATGAGGGGGGGAAATTAAAAAAAAAATAAACATTTATTATTTCAAACCACCTTTTATTCGAGCACAAGAAAATACAGGTTTTCTTCCGGACCCAGTTTTTACTCAGTTTCAATAGATCTGAACGCATTGCAACCTTCAGTGACTATAATCTTGAAGAAACCATACGAATCATAAAACTGGTCACGATAATGAGTTGTATATTTCTCATTAGAAAATGTTGTTCTTTTATCAAAATAGCTGCTGTTGGAAAAGTTTTCGTGAAGGAATGTATTTATTATTTGGTTGCCAAATTGATCGGAATCGGAAATTGTTCTGAGTTTTTTTTTCTTAGATAACTCATTTCAAAGCTGCAGGGCCATTTACAATAATCTTTCTCAGATTTTGACAATATCGATAAAAAATAACTTTCAATGACCGTGGTTATCGACCATCAATCAAATTATTACGTTTAGATACTCATTCAACGGACAATTTGAGGTTTTTTTTTTTAATTTCTTAAAGAATGCGTTTTTCGCTTTGATATACTGTTTAGTAGTAGTACATGAAAAAAAAGATCAGATGAATCTGGAATTTTCGGCTGTAAAAAGTTTCTCTCAGTGGCCAGTATTAGCAATTTAGTTTTGGTTTATTATTTTCAATAATGAAACATTGTGATCGACCGAAAAATTCAAAAACATAACCCCCTCTCAAAATTTGAGGTTTCACGTTTCAAGATGCGTAGAATTCGAAAAACGAATAAAAATTTTTTTGTCCGTACGCCGTCCGCGCATTTTCTCCGAAACTACTGGACCGTTTTTTTTCAAATTTTGATATAAAATCAGAGGTCACTCGAGGATGATCCTCCATCGACATTACTCTCCGCCTTTAACTTTCAAAATGGCGGCCGAAAAACCTGCGTTGCTATAGACTGTAGCTCCTAAACGAATGTACAGATTTCAATGAAACTTCGCTAAAGTCATTTTCTCGACGCCTTTTAAATTTATCTATATAAAATACTTCAACGAAAAGAAGCTGGAAAAAAAGTTACGAGGGACAAAATCGGACAATTTGGAGCAAAGATATGGTCCCTGGTTTGTTTTTATGTGTTCTACTCCAAATGTTATATCCTTGGTTTGGTTTTTAAATTTTAAACGTGTTACTGAAATGATGCTATTTTTTTTAGCATATTACTAATGATTAAAGAAAAACAGTTTAGTCTAATAATTGGAATCACCTTTTTTTTCTTTGTAACTCGGAAGGTAATGTTACTTTAGATGTATATTTGTTTGGAGATAATAAACCATTGTGAAATCATTTGCAGCGTTTTTTAAATGTCTAAACCCATGTACAGGATGTCTCCTAAGTAGAGGGAAATATTTACTGTAGCGAAATCTGCAGAAGGGAAAGGTATAATCATTTCAGCACTGGACAGCCTAACACAAGCATTTTCAATAATAGACCTAAAAATTAATCCTAACAAATGCAGCATTACTTCTTTTACTAGAAAATAAACAATTAACTTCAAAGATTTTGAGATTTCAATTGAAAAATACACAGTTAAAATCGAAGAACACTTAAAGTTTTTAGGCGTAACATTAGACACTAAATTAAATTTCAAAACGCATATAAAAAATATTCACACACAGTCGCTGCAAAACTTAAACATACTAAAATCTTTAGCTGGAATATCGTGGGGTTCTCAACCACAAAACATGCTCACTCTCTACAAAACAATAGTGAGATCTAATTTTGATTATTGCTGTGTCCTATACAATCAAACTAAATCCCCCTCATTAATAAGTTGAATACAACACAAAACTGTGTCATAAGGTTATGTTTGGGTGCTTTTAAAACTTCTCCAGTAAACGTGCTTCAGACCTCAGTCGGAGAAATGCCATTACACATCAGAAGGTCATGGTTAACGAAAAAATACATTCTCAAAGTGTATTCCGACAATAATCATCCTGTAGGTAAAGAAATTAGAAGTGGAAACGTGTTCTGTCCCCAACTATCCTTCATTATTAACGAATTACAGCCTCTTCTGAAATCACTACACATTTCGGAAGCTCATCTAGAATACACAAGCCCATTCCCAAATCTTTAATTAATATTCACAGCTCCTCTAATCTAGCTGGTAAATTAGAGAAGAAAAGTTCATACCCGCCAATTTATTTGAAACAATTAGCACTAAACACAATCACGGACCGCTACCCAAATTATCTACAAATTTATACGGACGCATCAAAAACAAGTAACCGAACGTCTATAGCCGTATATGATCCCCAAAAGAACCAGAAATTTTCATTATCAATACCAGTTGATTTCAGTATTTTCAGCGCCGAACTATATGTCATTCTTAACGCCATAATATACAGCGAAAACACATATATGAACCAAAAAATAGTTATTCTGACAGACTCAGCAACTGCATGTAAACACCTAAAATTAATCTACCAAAATAAAGTACTGACACACATTTCCTTTAAAATCATATCACTAATATACAACGCCAGCAACAATTACTTTTTCCAGCGGGTGCCGGGACACGTAGGAATATCAGGAAATGAAATGGCAGACAAAACGGCAAATCAAAACCAACTAAATCGAATAAACGCGAAGGTCCCTTTACTGGATTTGTTAAGAGTAGTGAGGGGGAAAATAATGAAAGACTGGCAGCATTTCTACGACTGGAAATGTCCCTCGAAGGGTAAGGACCATCATGCAGTTCAACAGAAGATAGCACTAATTCCATGATTTGCGACCCTTAAATCTCATCTCGACCGCTCCAGCTTAGGATAAACCACGGTAGAACAAATAAATATCTTCATCTAATGGGTCTAGCTAAGAGCGGTCTCTGCCCAACATGCCTATGCTTGGAGGATCCAAGACACATTGCCTTCAAGTGCAAAAGGTTCGAGAAGCGAAGAAGAATTAGTTTGGGATCGCAAACTACGGATGATGGAGCTAAATTTCTTCGGTCGATGAACAAAGATAACGCCCGTGACTTGATAAAGTTCATGAATGACATCAAAGCAGTCATATAATAAAAGTCGCCACTTATTCTCGGTTAATTGTAATTCTAATTCATCTCAGTTTTTAACCATTAGTCTTTCTAGTTTCCATAATATCTAATATCTAATAATATAATATTTAATATCCAAGTTCCATTTCAGTTATCTAACTATAAATATAGTTCTGCGCAAGCGCTAGTATCTTTCAACCCACCTGCTACATCGTCTCTCACAATTATCATAATTACCAGTGAATTAGTGAACAGTTGTGTTAAAAAATAGTGCTATTGAACAATTATATAGTACATTCTTGAATTGAACCATAAACACGGTGGGTAACCGCTTGTTTATTAAGTTTGAACTATAGTGTAAACAACCATAGAATTAGATAGAGTGGCCATTTCTTATCTA